GGTCGTCGGTATTACAGTCGTCGGCATCCTCAGCATTGCCATCGTCATCGTCATACTCACCATCGCCATCGTAGTCACGACCGTGATATTGGCAGCGATAATCACTATACTACCATTTGTCATCATCATCGTCTTCGTCACCATCATCATCGTCATCGTCATCAACATCGCCATCATAATCATTACCACCACCATCGCCATCATCATCATCACCAGGGTCATCATCATCATCATCACCATCATCATCATCGTCGTCGTTTGCGTCATCAACATTGACGTCATCATGATCACCACCAACATCATCATCGACATCACCATCGTGATCGTCGGGTCGCCGAGTCACCGGATCGTCGGGTCGCCGATTCACAAGATCGCCGGGTCGCCGGGTCGTCGGGTCGCCGGGTCGCCGGGTCGCCGGGTCGCCGGGTCGCGGGGTCGGCGGGACGCCGGGTCGCCGGGTCGCCGGGTCGCCGGGTCGCCGGGTCGCCGGGTCGCCGTGTCCGGCCGGGTCGCGGTCGCCGGGTCGCCAGGGTCCCCGGGGGTCGCCGGTCGCCGGGTCGCCGGTCCGCCGGGTCCGTCGTGTCGCCCGGGTTCTCCGGTCGCCGGTCCGCCGGGTCGCCGGGTCGCCGGGCCCCGAACGCCGGGTATCGCCGGGTCGCCAAACGCCGGGGTTCGCCGGGTCGCCCCCCCCGGTGGGTCGCCGGTCGCCGGGTCGCCGGGTCGCCGGGTCGCCGGGTCGCCGGGTCGCGGGGTCGGCGGGACGCCGGGTCGCCGGGTCGCCGGGTCGCCGGGTCGCCGGGTCGCCGGGTCGCCGGGTCGCCGGGTCGCCGGGTCGCCGGGTCGCCGGGTCGCCGGGTCGCCGCGTCGCCGCGTCGCCGGGTCGCCGTGTCGCCGGGTCGCCTGGTCGCCGGATCGCCGGGTCGCCGGGTCGCCGGGTCGCCGGGTCGCAGGGTCGCCGGGACGCCGGGACGCCGGGACGCGGGGTCGCGATCCCGCCAGGGTCCGCCGGGTCGGGTGGTCGCCGGGTCCCGGCGCCGGGTCGCCGAGGTCGCCGGTCGCCGGGTTCGCCGGGGTCGCCCGGGTCGCCGGCGCGCCGGTCCGCCGGGTCGCGGGGTCCGCCGGGTCCGCGGGGGTCGCCGTCGCCGGGATCGCCGGTCGCCGGGTCGCCGTGTCGCCGGGTCGCCGGGTCGCCGGGTCGCCGGGTCGCCGTGGTCGCCGGTCGCCGGTCGCCGGGTCGCCGGGTCGCCGGGTCGCCGGGTCGCCGGGTCGCCGGGTCCTCGGGTCGCCGGGTCGCCGGGTCGCCGGGTCGCCGGGTCGCCGGGTCGCCGGGTCGCCGGGTCGCCGGGTCGCCGGGTCGCCGGGTCGCCGGGTCGCCGGGTGGCCGGGTCGCCGCCGGGTCGCCGGGTCGCCGCCGGGTCGCCGGCCCTTGTGGAATTCTCTCTGGAGAATTTCGTGAACGGTCGGGGTCGGCACCAGCGGTTGGCGCTCTACATCGAGCAATCAAGGACATCCCGATCCCCTCTGAGACGCTCGAGGTAGGCCCAACCACACTGGTACACCCGCGTGACATTCTTGACGCCAAGAGCAAGCAGTTTGAGAAGTCATGGTGCCCTGATCTCGCAGTCCACGACTACGACTTATTAGTGGAGCTGTTACGTGAACGAGTACGAGGCGAATCTCTAGCACCGTTGGAGGTTGCAGATATCCGCGCCGCGCTCAGAAGGATGAAGCCGTCATCAGCCATAGGGCGTCGACAGGGTATGTAGTCTGGATTACGACAGGTTGCCTGATGCAGCCATCGCCGAGCTGGCGGGCATCCTCACCTTGTGCGAGGTTCACCAGGTGTGGCCCCACCAAGTGCTCCTCACGCTGGGCGCGCTTCTACCCAAGAAGTCCGCTGGGGACCGTGTGATCGGCCTTTTGTCGCATCTAGGCCGCACGTGGTCCCAGGCGAGAGAGGAGCACGTTCGCACATGGACGGACCAGTGCGAGGCGCACTGGGACGCAGCAGTGGAGGGCAATGCGGCCCTACGAGAAGTTTTCCTTCGGTCAGTTGACGAAGAATTATCGACCCGCCTTGGGGCATTCATAGGCAATGGTACGATTTATATTGCAAGTTTTTATGATACTGTAGGCTGGTACCGCATGGGTAAATCAGCATTACGATTGGAGTTCCCACCTGAAGTACTAGGCCTCGAGCTTCATCAGTGCATGGCAGCAAGATGTGTGAGACAAGCTGGAGCGTATGGGTCGCCGTTCGCTCCAACGCGTTCCATTGTGCAAGGATTGAGATCTGGCACGTGTTTCGGCAAGTGCGCTACTTCTCACATCCTTCAACACATCACAACATGCCATGTCAATATGTCTCGTCGGCTATGGGTGGATAGCTTCAGTCAAACAGTCCGTGGGTCACGAGTTGCAGTTCGCAATCAACTTGTTGATTGCTTGGTGGATGCCTGCCATCAACTGCAGGACCACGGGCTGAAGGTATCTCCCAAGTCGGTCGTCGTCTGCACGTGCGTGGCCGATGCAAGGGTGGTGGTGCGACGGGTAGCCGCCAGAGGCTTCCAGCTCAAGGTCGCCACCCAGGCCGCCTACCTGGGCGCAGACCTCTCAGGCGGCAGGCGGCATGGTCGTGCCACCAGACGAGCTCGGGCGAAGAAGCACACAGCCATGTCCAAGAAGATCATGGGCGTTGCACGAGCACTGCGACGCCATCGTGCACCTGCTCGCCTCGAGCTTCAAGGAGCTCAACCTGCAGGGCTGCATGGCCATCAGCTGCACGGTGCATGGGGAGCGCAGATGAAACAGATCAGACGCAAGCTCGCCAACTCGGTCGGACCACGGTTCACAGGAAGGTGCATCACAACGCTGCTGGACCTACGTGCTCCTGATCGCGACCCACAATATAAGCTACCGTGCGACACCTTGCGCATGTGGCTCGCCATGTGGAGTTCCCAGCAGTCCCTACGAGCAGGCATCGCGCGCACATGGTCTGCAGCGGTTGCAGATCTTACCGCTATGCCTGCCACAAGACGTTGCCGACACATACGTGGACCATAGAGTGCCACCATCGCGTACCTCCTCGACGCAGGGTGGAAGCCCCACTCACCGTCAGCGCGGACAACTCCCGACGGCAGCTCAGAGTGGCAGTTCAACACCATCAGCATCATAGGACACCCAGTATTAGACATGCCCGAAGCGTTCTTCGACGAGCTTCGGAGCACCATCGAGGCAAACATTCGGTCTGCCGCGGCGCAGCACTTCGGCGGCGCGGGCACGGAGACAGGAGTGTGCAACTACTCCTACCGACGCCTGCTCAAGGACCTGGAGCAGGCGCCAGGCGGCCGACGCCTCGCTGGGCTCCTTTCGGCGGCGGCAGCGGGCGCGGCTTGGCCCCGCAGTCGTCGCCAGACTCGATGTCGACAGACGCTGGATTTAAAGTGCCCAAGGTGTAAGATCGTCCCAGGGACTAGTTTTCATCGTGTCTGGGGGTGTAGCTGCAGATCTCAGCACCCCGTGCATAAACTTAGTGAAGATCTAGTAGCCAAGCCGTGCACTCAGGCAGAAGCCGAGGAATGTTTTTGGGCCCGAGGTTTGATCCCCAGGGCCTGGATGCAAGTTTCTGTTCCCCCCGAGGCCGAACAGTGGGTATCATCCAACAACCTCGAGTTTGAAATCGTTGCTCAGAGTTCCCCAGGCAGGCCTGTTTTTGTGTTCGGAGACGCGAGCGGGGGGAAGGATAATCATCATCCCCTCCTTCGCCGCGTAGGCCTGGGAATTGCGGTTTTCCAAGATGCTTCCAGCATGGATTTAACCTCGGCTTGTGGGGCCCCCTCCCTGGCAGCAGGCAAATTGTGGTGAGGGGCGAGCTCTACTGCCTCATGTTTTGTATCCGTCAGGCTTCAGGCTCGGTCGTATATGTCACGGACAACGATACCGTGAACGAAGGCTGACACCTGAGACGCTGGTCGCACCCCTCTGGGCCTGACGCAGACCTCTGGTGGCAGATAGGTCAGATTTTGCAGCAGAGAGGGGAGGCGATATCCTGCACCGTGCTTTTCGTTCATTCCCACTTAGAGGGTGAGCACATTGTTAAAGGAGTCGCCCCCCGTAATCTCGTGCTAGGTAATGTATATATATATATATATATATATATGTATATATATATATACTGATAACTTCGCAGCGGCAGGAGCCGCTAAAGGCAGATTGCCAGAGTCAGAACGTGCACGCATACATTTAGTTGAACAGCAAGCTTTCGCAGTCCGCATGCGTATCCTTCAGAGCACCCTTGAGGCCATCCTTGCTGAGGAAAACCTCGAGGTCGCCGAGGGGGGCCAGCGTAGGCGTAGGCGTCAACAACACGTTTCTTCTGTTGTAAGGCCGCCTGCGGCCAGTGTTTGTGCCTTGTTCATGACCCAGCATTGCCTCAAGGAAAACTCCAAAAGCTGTTCCAGGTGTCAGGGTTTTGCGTATCATGCTCGCAAAACTGAGTGGATGAGTTCACCTTGTTTTTCCTTAATTGATGTGGACGGTGTTGTCTGGCGACCCCCCTCTGGCGCGCGTGTGCACATATCGGGGGGCTACGCTCACACATCACACACACTCAGATTCCATTCGGGGTTGGGCATTTGGTTTTGCACTGCATGTGGCTGTTTCGCTTCCGAACAGTTGACACAGCTCGGAGCAGTGTGTAGTGATGTCGTCAATGGTAATCGTAGAGTGTGTCTTGATAGAATCAACCGCGGTCTCTGGCCTAAAGTTCGTAGTAAAGCCGAACTGGCCAGGAAAAGGCAGCAGGGATAAGCTGCTACGAATGTAACCGACACTGCCGCCATACCCAGAACTCCACAACTCCTCCTCCTCCTCCTCCCTCCTCCTCCTCCTCCTCCTCCTCCTCCTCCTCCTCCTCCTCCTCCTCCTCCTCCTCCTCCTCCTCCTCCTCCTCCTCCCTCTCTCCCTCCCTCCCCTCCCCTCCCCTCCCCTCCCTCCCCCCACTCGAGGGGCCGAGCTGCCAGTGGCCCCGGCCCGCGCCCGGTCCCCCCCCCGCGCCATGGCGCCGAAGGCGAAGGCGCGGGGCAGGGCAGAGCAGCCCCAGGGGCGCGGCCCGCGGGGC